CTTCTTTTTCATTTGTCACTTCTAATGCTATTTGTAACTGCTTGGAGGTGTACAGCTGTTGCCACCTTCACCTTACAGAAAACTTGATTATTTTTAGTTTCTTTTTTACACCCGGACTAAGGCCAACCCTTTTCCTGTCACTTTTCACTCTGTAGATGATTCTCCAACCAGTTTAGGCAGAGAGTTCAACAGGGCATCATGAGTCACACTTCCCTTTTCATGGTATTTTTAGAACTATCAGAAATCTTTTAAATACATTCTGACAATTTGAAGAAGAAAAAGCTACATTTGCCTCAGTTTGATTTAACTGAATCTTGGAAGATAAGCGGGGGTGTATGAAGGAGAAAGCACAGAAACAATACTGCCTTGACTCATTTTCTTGTCCATACTGCGCTGATGTTTCTGCCCTTTAGCTGCTTGAATTGCTTGTCAGGCATGGCTGTAAGATCTAATGCCTCCAACAAATAATTTCTGAACAGAACAGAGAAACATAGTTATTTCAGTTCACAATGTCTATGTGCATGACGATAATGAAATTTCAGCATTGATGTCAACAGCACTGATGTGGTATTTTTTTAAGTGGTTGGAGTTTTAGCAAGTGAAGCAGTATAACTGCCCTTGAGGGGTCTGTGCCCTTTGACAGCAAAGCAGAAAAACATTGTGTTCTGCAAATCTAGTGTTCTGCTGTACTCTGGAGAATGGAGAATATAATCTGGTTTAACAAGCACTAGTGTTCTCATAATGTCAGCTGAAGAGGATTACAGGAGAATCAATTTTATGTAATCAAACTTCCCTGGCATAAATAGAGATAATTTTCTTGGGAAAAAAAAAAAAAAAGAAGAAAAAGAAGAAAGAAAAGTCTCCATGACTAGAGTATTCCCTTCCCTTCCTGTAAGGTGGCTGCTAACTTCCTACATTAAATGAAAAATGGTAATTGAAACAATTCTTGGGAAATACCACTCTCTCAATGATATGCGGTAACATTTTAAAAAAAAGCAAAGTGTATTCAATGTGTAACAATTCCACCAGAAATGGAATACATAATTTGGCTGATGTCTTATTTTGGGTCTTTCTTTGACACTGGAAAAAATAGAACGTCAGAGCTTGACATAGTTCTGCAGTTCCTGCATCTTTCCCTCATGTAGGTCTTTCTCAAAGTCATACTGATATAAGATGCATCCTCTGAACACAAAATGACCTTCATGAAGGAGCAAAAGAGAAATTGTTTCAACTCCCAAAAGTTAAATTTTAGACTGAAACTGTTAAAAAGATGTGTAAATGGGAACATGGATTGTAGAGGGGACAGATTTCTATTGAGGAGTTTGTCCTTTAGCTGGTACATGCAAGTCAAGCAGCAGCAGACCATGCAAGGTTGAAGTGTTAATTTAAATCTTAATATCACCATATCCTTTTCAATACAAGCTGGGAGTGCATACAACCAAAAATTGTCTAACAGTGTTATTGCAAGAACAGTACTACCAGGATAGCTCTCATGGTACAGTTGGATTCCAGAGGAAAGGGAAGAAGAGATTGGACTGAGGAGAGGTGTGAATCCTTTCCACCGGACCCTCTTGATGCTGTCTGCTTGTGTTCCTGTGTGTTTTCCGCTTCAACATATTTAAATACATCCCAAATTGCAGCACACTTACGGAATTATTGCAACAAAAGTTGCCTTTCTTCCTCCACAGACTCATGTCTCTTTTTTTGTCTATTCTGCACTGCTCATGTTGGAATAGGCCCATGCGCTGCATATTCTGTGCTGCATGACAGGGATAAGGCTCTGGTACTGTGCTCTGTAGCATTCCCATTGCTTTTCACCTCCGTGTAGTTCAGCCTCACCATCATCCTTACATGCTGAACTGTATGTTCAGCAGTCCTTTTTAACCTGTATTAAATACTGAAAGAAAGAAAACATTTGGAAGCAGGTTGCTTTCCCATGCAGCTCCAGTGTGCAAAATAGCTGGGTGTAAAATTGGCAAGACTTGGTCCCTCTCTTCCATCAGGGCAGTGTAGATCTTATTGATCTATATTGTTTATTGTGCTTCCTAGTCACTTGGCCTCCGCACTGCGATATCTACACAGAGACCATAAAACTATGCTAGCTCTTACAATGAAGTCTTACATGTTTGTGTCTTGGTAATAAGGCTGCAGAATTAGTCAGCTATGCATATAAAGCCCCTGCCTTTGCACTGTGGACAACAGAAAGACTCCAGTGGTAGCTGGCACCTGCCTAAGAGAGGAAGAAGCTGCTCCATTACTGGCACCTGGGTAAGGACAGACCATTCTGTCACCCTTAGAGAATGATAGAGACAAGAGAAATTGAAGGAAGTGCTAGATTAAGTGCACTCGTGCCTGCACTTCCATCATTCAGATCTTGACTGCATTCACAGTTTGAGAGGATGTCTGGGGCTTGCCTGGCCAGATTTCCGCGGCGGGCGGGATGTCAGGGTGGCTTCTGCAAGAAGCTGCTAGAAGTTTCCGTAAGTGTAATAGAGCCAATGCCAGCTGGCTCTGAAGATGGACCCGCCGCTGGCCAAGGCTGAGCCTATCAGTAATGATAGGATAGGAACACCTCTGTAAAAATGTATTTAAGAAGCAGAGGAAAAAGGACTCCTCCACACAACAACTAGCAGAGAGACAGAGGAGTGAAAGTGTGTGAAGACACCAATGTCAGTGAAGAAGGAAGAGGAAGGATGTTCTCCAGGCACCAGAGCAGAGAGTCCCCCAGGTTGGGGTGAAGCCTCTGGTGAATGAGGCAGGCTGTCCCCCCTGCAGCCCATGGAGGTATAGATGTCCACCTGCAGCCCATGGAGGACTTCACGCCAGAGCAGAGCAGGTTGATTCATAAAAGGGCCGGTGGTCCCAGGGGAAGCCTGTGCTTGAGAAGGTTTCTGCCACAGCCTGAAGCCCATGGAGAGAGAGAAGCCCACGCCAGAGCAGGTTGGCTGGCAGGACTTTTGTGACACCCCAGGGGGACTCGTGCTGGAGCAGTTTCCCCCTGAAGGACTGCACCCCGTGGAGAGACTCCCATTGGGGCAGTTTGTGAAGAACTGTCTCTCATGAGAGGACTCATGTTGGAGAAAGATGTGTGAAGATTGTCTGCCGTGAGGGGCACCCTGCAATGGCCCAGGGGAAGAGCGAGGAGTGCTCCTCCGGAGGAAGGAGCAATAGACAACATCGGATGAAATGACTGCAACCCCCATTCCTTGTCTCCCTGTGCCACTTGGGAGGAGGTGAATAAAATGGGATTGATGTTAAGCCCAGGAAGAAGGGAGTGATGGGGAGAAGGTGGTTTTATTTTTTTTTTAATTTCTCACTACTCTTCTCTGATTTGTTCTTTAATAACTAATTTCCCCAAAATCGAGTCTGTTTTGTCTGGGACAGCAGGTGCGGGTGATCTCCTTGTCCTTATCTCAAACCATGGGCCCTTCATTATATTTTCTCCCCCTATCTAGCAGAGAAGGAGGGTGCTCTGTGGGCACCTGGCCGCGAGTCAGGGTCAAACCACCACAGAGGACAACATTTACACATTTCTTCCAGCCTCTTTTCAGTTCTGACAATCAGTAACTGATGCTAAGTGGGTGCCTGTTTGACTTTCTGCACCTGCATCCCACATTTGTGCACAGCCTGTGTCACCTGAAGTAGCACCCATAAGGACCTGATGTTTGTGGAATGGACACAGCCTGTTAAACTCTGCAGTAAATCTTACTGTGGGAGTTCAGAAGTCTCTTAACTTGCCCCATCAGTTTGTTGCTAATTCATTCTAGCTTTCTATCTTGGTGCAGCTACCCCCTTTCTCCTGTCTTCTGTCCATTGTTTATTGAAGTTCTTGCCTGGGTGGAAAACACCTCTCTGCTTTTACTCATGCCATATATCCGGATGTCAAAATTAAATAATGGATTTCCCTGGTCTTGTCTGGCATCAAGGTAAAGAGTGATGTGTTTCACACAACACTTTCTCTGCTGTCTGTTTACCAAGGTATACGTTCCCTGTGTTTGAGAGGTGCCTTCCTACTTATGATATCAAAGGGAGTGAGGTCATATCAGGAGATTTACTTGTTAGTCTTTCTGTGCTTGTGCTGTATTGCACATCTGAGCTTGATTTAGTTTGTGAACTCTGCTGTTACTTACCCAGTTTCCCTTTCCTTGATTTTCCCCCATCTCATAAAGCAAATATAACTAATGTGAATTGTAAATCTTGCGTTTTCTGCTGCTATTGCTTTATTTAGCGATGCCTTTACTCTTGGATAGGGAATAATCCAGGTCTTTGAGAATTTTCTTGCTAATTTCTCTAAGACCACATAAAGTTTTCTTTAGTTTAATTAAATGAGAAAATAAATTACACTTTAAGACAGACTTACTTGAAGTTTAACCCTGATAAGAAGAATATATGAATTTTTGTTTCCTTATTTTTTGTATTTTTTTTTTCTGTAGAGTCAGAAAATTCTTCTTGGTCAGGATTTCTTTCACATACCCCAATGATTCTGTAGCACTTTGCTCTACAGTGTGGTCATCTCAGCCAAGCTTTAGAGCATTGCCATTACTAAGCTAGAAGTTTTTTCATCCTTAGTGCTTTGTCTGCATCATCCTATTCATCATACACCTCCTGTTCATAATTTTTATCTGGGTCATTTTTCTCTTTGCAGGTACATGCCAGAGTTTGACTCTTACATTCTTTGTAAATAAGTTCTTTTCTTCCCTGTATTGCATAGCTCCAGTATTGCAGCTGGTATAGGGGTGTGATCAAGCAGGGATCTGTACAGTGAAAACGTTCTTCATGATATCAGTTGTGGGATCAAACCATAGATTTTGAATTATGAAGAACAGGTGTGCTGTACTAAGAACTTGTTATCCTGTCCAGTTATTCAAACAATCTTATCTTTGAATTCAGAACAATGGAAAGATGGAATGTTTTGGTTGAATTGCCTTCAAGATGGTTACAGATGCAAGATCTGCTCTGTGTTTCCTTTCATCAGGAAATTGCATGTCTGTCTTTTCTAGATTTGAACGTATTCATACAAAGAAAGGGAACTACACTAAGTCACTAGTTTCAAACCAGGAAGAAGTAGATGATCTAGCAACCTTGGAGGTACTAGATGAGGTAAGAACATCTTTTTTCATGTTTTCCTGATCACATATTAAAACACAGTAGTATGCTGTTGATTTTCAAGTTCAAATATATTGTCACACTTCAGTTGTGGAAATGTGCAATGACATATTACCAGTTTACGCCAAATATTTTAGATGAGATTTACTGTGTAAGAAATGGTTCCCACTTAAAACTAGAACACCCTTTGCAGTTATGGCCTTAGACCAAGCGGTATTGTAGCAGCATTTGCTTAACAGGATTTATATTGCTGGATTTTGTTACAGCTGAATATCTAGTTTGCGCTGATGTGTTAACCTAAAATTGGTCCAGGTCCAAGAACACACACCTTCTTCCCTGGTGCTTGGGCATCTAAAGTTGTTTTAAACTAGCTTACCGTACTCTCCTAGGCTGAGTTCTCACTGACTTAACTTCATGGTGGAGATGTCAGCTGAGGCTCTGATCTGTCAGTGCCTTCTGGTGACATTTTGACAAAATTACTGATAAAAATCTCACTAGTTTGTCAGAGTTCAAAAATGGGTCCACTAGGAGTAGGGAACATGTGTAAAGGAGTGGGGAAGTCTGTTGTGTTTATGGTTTAAGCTTCAAAAAACAGAAAGAATAATTGGGCCACAGCACATTATCTGCAGGTCTTAGAGGCCACTAGTGGCTGTAAACAAATTGTCATTCTTCCCCTACCAAGCTGTGCATAGACTATAATTTACATTCTCTTATCTGTAAAATTTCTCTGATATATTGTGTCTTCATCAGTCCAGAATACTAAATGTGGCTCTTGAGCTGGTGAACTACACAATGCTAACAGCCCACAGAACATCTTCCATCATCTAAGAGCTTCGCTATAGCAGCTTAATGTTTAGTTGATACCAATTGAACTAATCTAAACTTCACCTACTGCACAAAGCTCAGATTTAAGTATTTTTTTCAATATTGTGAATGGCCATATGCTAGCAAGACTGCTTTTTATTGTTTGCCATGAAGCATATAAACAATATGAGCTAAAGAAAAGATAGAAAAAAACCCCCAAACCAGACAACCTGGGAGTATATTGCATCACAGAGGTGGAACATTCTCATGAAAGTCCTCAGGAAGCCTCCCTAGAGGCAACATTTGACTATGATATTTTACTAAATCCAATCCAGTTTAAAACCTCTGTCACATATGAATGGCAGCTTCTCAGGACTTTCTTCAGTTCAAATTTTTCTTCCAGTTTAGTTAGCCCCATCAGAAGAGCAAAACAGGAGATCTCCTGTAGTTGCAAGAAATAATTTCAAAAAGGACAGAAGTTTCCCTAAAACAGTCTATTAATGTGAATCTAGTTATGGCCAAAAGCAGTGTTCAAAACCAAAAAATGGAAGAGTTTATCAAGGCAATGGAAAACCAAGGGTTTTCTCCTGTTTTTCTGTGGAGGAAATGTAACGTCTTCATCTGTTGAGAATTCAGGTTTTAAGATCATTAGCCACAACACAGTGCACAACACTGTGAAGAGATAGATGTGAAGGGAAAGCAATTCCTTCTGAAGTCCTCTGCTGCCAGTTGTTCTGTTCCAGTGGGAATAGGGCCTAAATATTTTCACATGCACCTCGGAACAGTCTCAAGGCTGGTTTGAATTCCTTCGTCCAGTGCTGTGTCCTGTTTTGACTGGACACCTAACTAGGCGCTTTACATAACCAGCTCTGCATGCAGAAGGTGAGGGGAAATATGTCGAGTAGTTGGGTGTGCCACTAATGGGACCTTTTTTCTTGATTCAGGGAGAATTGGTTCTGCAGCAGCAAAGAACATGCTCAGTTGTATTCCTGACTATTAATACCTTCTCTCTCTATCCTCACTCATTGTAACTACATAAATATTTTATATATTTTCCTAATATTCTTTTTTTTCCCCAATGTAATACAGTATTCCTATTCTTTCTCCATCAGAATACAGTAACAGAGCAGTTGCAGAAGGGTTACGCCAAGGATCAGATCTACACATACGTTGGGGACATTCTCATTGCGGTCAATCCATTTCGGAACATAGACATTTATTCTTCACAGGTGTGAAAATCTAGGTTTGGTTCTTTTAAACTAGCACTGATTTCCATTAAAATATAAGTATCTGTGTTAAGTATAAAGACCATTCATGAGATTTACTTCAGTTCACTCTGAAAACCAGTTGCCCCTTCAAGGGCATGCTGACACACATCCTTATTATGCTGAATTTCAGCACAGAAATTAGAAACTCAAAAAAAAAGAATTTCTGATATTTTCACGTAGATCATGTCTATGTCTGAAGTGCAAACAGCTATATCTGAGCAAGTAATCCATTTTAGTCAATGAATATAAATGGAATTTTCAACGTTATTGTTGACTTTCAGGATTCATTCTAGGATGAGATAAAATATGTTAAACTTCATGAAATTTGTTCTAGATACCCATAGCAGCTAGGTCAGAAGTAGTATCTGTACAGATAAATTCATTTATTCAGGTGAATCTTACCCCTTCTGTGGGATATCCTTGTCCTCCACTTCCCATGGAGAACTTCTGTTAATGGCTGAAAATAGGAGCTGGAGCATTCCCTCCCAAGAAGGATCGGGAGGCCATAGCTATCAGACGGTTCAAAAAGCAATCATGTAAAATTTTAACTTCTGTCAATTTGCCTTCCCATTATATAAAAGGGGACAGATATGAAAGTCTGGTCATACAATACTTTGACATTATTAATTATCAGATACTACAAGTACAGAAAAGATCTTAAGTTTTGACATCAGTATAATGCAGAAATACTAAGAGGATGTGAAATACCAATAAAATGAAATTATAAGTTGAAGCCTGATGTCTGGCAACATTAAATTTTCTTCTAATAATTTGAGTTTTCATAGTGTAATCACGACTGGCATCAAAATTGTGCTGCTTCTTTTTTAACAGTTCTTACAGTACTAGATACATACAGGTTCATGGTATAGGGAGTGTAGTAACAGCTCACTCAGAAAATATCACAGCTGGTAACCTCATCGTGCTGTACACTAATCTGAAAATAAAACTGAACTCTAATAAAAAAAATATATGTTGTGGGACACAGATAATGTTATCATTTTTCTTATATTTAGCATTCCAAACTGTATATTGGAGCCAAGCGGACTGCCAACCCTCCTCATATTTTTGCTGTTGCTGACATAGGTTATCAGTCCATGGTGACTTACAACTCCGATCAGGTAAAGATGGAGTGTCTTAATTATATCATATGCTAAGCCAGGAGATACATAATGAGCTCAGCCATGCTCTTGTTCTCTGCAGTGCATTGTTATTTCTGGAGAAAGTGGAGCTGGCAAGACACAAAGTGCCTTTTTTTTTGACTGTCCTGGGCAAGGTATGCTTCAAAGGGGATGCCTCTGTATGACTTTGCTAGCTTGGACCTAATTGACTGACCCTACCTACAGGGAATTGGTAGAAGGGCAAGACTATAGTACATTTTCCAAAGAACTTCTATAAGGTCAGATTGGAACATGATACTGATCTGTCTACCCCTTCCTCCCTCCTGAACTAGGGTTACTTGAAAATATTTTGAGGATTGCACAAGGAAGTACCCACTGCAGTGAGGGCTGTGACTTTCTCTGTCCCTTGTTTAACTGAGTGTCTTCAAATCACCCAAACTGTACTAAATGAAATCCTGTTTGAGCTTTTTACCTCTTCCCTCAGCCAGTTTGCTGGCAGTGGGACGTGGTCGTTCTGGGAAGTGATCACCATAACTGTCTAAATGAAATGCCATTTTTGCATGTCTTGGGTGAGATGCGACCAAACTGATCTGTTGGTTTGCAGCAGTAAGCAGATGCTGAGAAGGATCCTAAAAGCAGGCCGACCATCTCAGAGTGCTGGACCACAGAAATTGATTAGTTCTGGTGTTGTTGTTATCATTATGTGTTTTATCTCTCCCAGCCAGCCGTTAGTTCTGCAGATTGCAATATTCTAACTGGTTTAATGAGACATATATGCCTTTCTTTCCATATGATTCATGTGGGAGTGGCTGCCCTGATGATGTCACACTTCACTATACCAACTAGAAGAAGAAAGAAACACTTAAGAGTGAATGTATTTGAGTGTTTACTGATAATTTTAGTCAATATCTTTTTTTTATCTAGGCTAATAACAGGACTCTACAGGAGAAGATCCTCCAGGTGAATAACCTCGTAGAAGCATTTGGAAATGCAGGCACTATCATCAATGATAACTCAAGCAGATTTGGAAAATATTTGGAAATGAAATTCACTTGTGGTGGCACTGTAGTAGGAGCTCAAATTTCAGAGTATCTCCTTGAAAAATCCAGAGTTGTCCACCAGGCTGTGTAAGTACAAAAAATATATTTGACCTAATTTGGGGTTGCAGACTCGTGGAGAGCCAGGAATGACTTTTTTGCAGAAAACCAGTGACTGATTACCTAGAAAATGGGAGACCCATATTTTGGACCCATGTCAAGCCAGGAGATCTTGAACCTATAAGTTCCCCTACCTTGCCAAGAGAATACACAAACCAGCAGGACGCAGCGTGCAGAGCAAGTCTATATAACCTAGTGATTAAAACACTGAGGGAACGGGTCAGTGATCTGCTCCTGCTCCTTAAATTGGTCTTGTCTTCTGCTACCAACTGTCCACAGTAAAACATGCACGCTAAGTTGGCACTGGACTCTCACCTAGGCACCCACCACGCAGAAAGGAGTGCACCAGGCTTTGATCCTGTTTCACACAAGCGTATAGTGGTGCGCCTGAGACATACGCCACATCTCATACAGAAACCAGGGGTTTGAACACAATTCCTCTTGTCATTTTATAGTGACCAACTTCTCCATCTACCTCAGGGTTCAATGGTGGTTGCAAATTGCCACCTGAGCATCCACTTCACAGAATCACAGAATCACAGAATGACATAGGCTGGAAGGGACCTTAGAGATCATCTAGTCCAACCTCCCTGTCATGGGCAGGGATGACTCTCAACTGGATCAGGCTACTCAAGGCTCCATCCAGCTTGGCCTTGAACACCTCCAGGGAGAGGGCAGCCACGATAAACCTTCTGTCCCGGGTTTGGGCATCCAACTTATAGGCAAAGCATGCCAGGTCATAAGGCGCTTTGCTGAATGCCTGTGTGCTTTCTTGATTCAGTGCTAAAGGACACAGCAAACGTACTGGATTCAGTGAATCAAGAGCGTATAGCTCTCCCGTGGTCAGAAGATTTTTTAAAATAACTGGAGGTTAAGCAGCCTATTTAATGCAGCGTGATGAGCAGTGTGTAAGGTCTCACCCAGCATCTACTGACTGCATCAAAGGCAGAGCAGGATTTAGCTGCTTGTAGTACCAAGCAGCTGCCCTGGCAGCTTCAGGGCAAACACACAATGACACCGAAAGGGTGTTCACTTCTCAAGAACTTCTTTCAGAGTCCTCTGTCAGTTTGCATGAGCCTTGTCTTTTATTAAAATAACATTTAATAATAGCCTGTATGTCATCAGTAAATGTAACACAGTTAAATTACTAACTCAGTTTGTTGTTTCTGTTTTTTCAGAGGAGAGAAAAATTTCCATATTTTTTATTATATTTATGCTGGTCTGGCAGAAAAGAAAAAACTGGCGCACTATAAACTGCCAGAATATAGACCTCCCAGGTAACGCAGTTTATTTTTACATAAATTGATTTCTAAGAAATGTGGTGTAGAATTCTCAACCTCGTTTACATTCTGACTCTGTATCTATCAACTCTTTCAGATACCTGCAAAACGATCATTTCAGAATAGTGCAAGATTTCATGAATAACAGCTTTTATAAGTCTCAGTTTGAGTTAATTGAACAATGCTTCAAAGTTATAGGTTTTACACTGGAGGTGAGTGCTGATAACCCATTTATTTTTGTGAATTTGATGCCTGCTTTAATCAGGAAAATCTTATATAAAGTATTCAAATGATCTCCTTTGTAATTTTCTTCCTTTAGCAGTAGTGTGTTTATGTTTTAGGATATTGCATGGTGAACTTATTGTTATATTCCCACATTTAAAGTTTTAAGGTTTCAAGGCATTGATAAACTAATAAAATTGCATTAGTCAACAACACTTCGAAATCAGTGAATGCATCTGAGTAATTGGGGACAAAAAAGGGTTTTGCAAGTTAAAAGCATAGAAGATAATATTGTAACTGTTTCTTAGCCTAAATTATAGGACTGTGAATATGAGGTCCGTCTCTGTTTTAAGATGAAGTCCATGGTTTGAGCTCTAAAAATTCGTTGAGTTGATCTGAGTTTTGATGGACTCAATATATTTTCACAACTCCAGGAGGAAAGTTGAATGAAGTTTTTACATCCCTTCTGAGTAAATCTAATCACTAAACACTAACTGAACGCATTCTTACTTTATGATCTCATATCATTGCTCTGCTGGACATTAAACCCTTCTCCTCAGGCTGTCTTTGGTATTACTAAAATAAAAACAGGCCTCTGGATTTATAAAGCAGGATGCAAGGGAAGGAAACCCCATCCTGCACCCTAGTTCTCTCTGTAAGAAGTGGTGCGTCACAGCTGTCGTTTACTGCTGACGTGATCTCGGACAATAGTAGGACTATGATCCATATAGTAACTGTGAAATACAGCACTAGTGCTGCAGAATGGATGTGCATTTTAATTTCTTTGACAAAACTGCATGTTGTAAGGAGCTTTTCACAGAAGATTACTCATTTCAATTGAATGTTTCTGGCTTCCTTCAACATAAATATTTGTATAGCCAGCAGAACAGATTTATTCACCTGTTCTGTTCCTCAAAAGTCATTTTGTATTAAGTCATAGTAACAGTGGAGTTTGCAGTCTCTTTCTCTTCTCTGTGCTTATGCACAACTGCACTTAGTAATACCACACTTGTGCTATCACATCCTTTCACACCTGTACTTTCACCTTGCAGGAGCAGCGTGGAAGGGTTTGCACAGTTCAGCACTGATAACAGTGTTGTCACAGCACCAGAGACTGTAATAAGTCATAATTTATACCATGAAAAGCAGCAAGTCTGTTTTTGTTCCCAGTTCTTTTGTTCCCTTAGATGGATGGGAACAATAATCCTGATCATCCAAAAGAGACCTTCCTTAAATATTCGAGATCCAGTTAGAACTAGGTCACTGCCCGCATTGTGCAGTTTTAGCGGGGATCCTCACTTGATTAATTCGGCAAGCTACTGTGATCTGAATCTGTAAAAAATTATCTACCGGTAGAACTCTCACAGTTTCAGAAGCAGGTTGAGTGCCATAGGCAGTCTAACCATGGTTACCTGTGAGCCCCATCCGTGTTAGCCTGTCTTAGTTCTTCCCAAGGTCAACTAGCCTGTTTGAGGCTGTGTTTGCAAGAGTGAAGGAAGTCTCCTTCCTCCTCTGAGGTTCTGATATTTCCAGTGAGAAAAAGATACTGGAAGACAATGAGTTCCTTTTCTAAGTTCGTTTTTTAGTCATATAGCCTTAAGCTTTGACATTCATCCAGTGCACAGGGAAGGTTCTATATAAGCATGTTCCATGTTTTATTAGCAGAAAACCTTGGGCAGAATATCTTCTCTAATCCAGTTAAAACTGAGACCTAAATAAGGCTTTATTTCTTTGAAATGTAACTACTGTCAGTACTCACTGTCTTAAAATCACACTATTTCAGGCTGCATGGCAAAATTAATAGGAAAGGACTGCCTGAGGTGAACAATAATCATGCTCTATGAGACAGATCAAGCCAGATTTCAAACACACTGGAAAAGGGCACAGAAATGTCAGCAGCTATACATACTGTACTGCATAATGGCAAAGATAAGCTGTCCGTTTCTTTGTGTTTCATCTGTGTCCCTAAGTTTAAAATGAAAGTGATTGCTTAAAACATAGGTAAATTGTGTACCAGTTATCCTGAGCATAATTTTTAGAGTGAGCTTATCTCATTTGTCTTGCTGTCACTGGAATAATTAATTTATTAACTGCTAGTTTAACTTCTGAAATTGTTGAAAACAAGATCAAGTATTCTGGAGCAATTAAGGATTTTATCTGAGTAAATGATGCCTGACATGGTACCAGCAAACTCTTGAATAAAATACTCTGGAATAAAATGCTGTGCCATTATGAAGAGTCCATCACTGTAAAATACCGATCAAATTCATGAAACTGCTTCTTTTAAAACTACTATAAAACTCAGTAACCTGCTGTTTATAAAATACACTTACTGCATGCCTCAGAATATCTGGTATCATGAATTCCTTGCTTAAAACCTAGTCTACTTTACAGAAGCACCTCAGCATTTCTGAGTAGAAAGTACTCAGAGATCATCAAGTATTCTGATAAACATTCACAGTTCAAATGAAAATATACAATTCAAATCTAAGTCAAAACTCAATCATTAATTGCAAATATTACTTTGTCATATATAAGTACTTAAAATAATTTACTGTATATATCACTTCACTCTCCAGACGAATATTAACTTTTTTCAAAGCAGAATCCCTCTTCAGAAGCTACTAAATAATTTGAAGTTTAAATATGCTTAAGTAAAGTCCATACTAAGTTGCTTTGGTTACTACACAATTCCTGACAGACATTTTGAAGGGTAAAGTGCT